GCCTTTCCCTCCCCCCCCCCTTTGTCCCCTCCCTCAGGGCTCCAGACCCAGTTATTTTTCGAGGATTCTGCGAAAAACGCTCCGCACCCTCTTTTTTACGAGGGAAAGCGGGGGTCTGCGGACCCCGTTATTTATCGAGGATCCGAGATGGGGGGCGAACTTTCCTCGAGCGGGCACGCACAAAACGCACTTTTTCTAAAAAAATCAGCACTTTACCTCGTTATTTATCGCAAATAATTTCGCCGGCGCTTGACCCGTCAGATCCGGGGGTAAACGGCTAAAAGAGAACCCTGGGCCCACGCCCTTTCCGGGAACAGGATCGACCCACGAACCCGTATAGGAACATAGACATGTTCTTCTCCATCCAAACATGATCGACCCACGAACCCGGAAAGGAATATAGAAATGTAAGGCATGGCGACGTTTCAAAGACACCTGAGTGGGCGACGGGCAAATGCAATGCTGAATGTATCGATCTTGATGTACTGTGCCGAGGGCTGTGCTGTGCTACCCCGTGCTGAACTGCGATGTGCCATGCCGCGAGTGTGCTCTATAGAGCGTTGTGGATCAAGTCCTCCCTGACATCCGAGTCCTGACCGAACTGATCTGGATCTTAAGCTCGAGCTGCCTGAGCAGATGGTAGCTGCCCCAGAACTAACCAACAGAGGGGACATGCCAGGAGGACGCGCCGTGGAACGTCCCAAGGGACGCGCCAGGCGACCTGCCAGGGGACGTGCCATGGGCACGCACCGCAGGACGTGCCAAGGGGACGCGCTACGGAACGTGCCAAGGACGTGCCGCGGGACGTGCCAGGGGACGCGCCGCGCGAAGTGCCAGGTGGACTCACCACGGAACGCACCAAGGAACGTGCCAAGGTGCAATGTTGAGTGTATCGATCTTGATGGACAATGCCGACGGCTGTGCTGTGCTGGGCCGTGCTGAACTGCGATGTGCCATGCCGCGACCGTGCTCTAGATATAGCGTTGTGGATCGAGTCCTCTTTGCGTCCGAGTCCTGACCGAACTGATCTGGATCTTAAGCTCGAGCTGCCTGAGCAGATGGTAGCTGTCCAAGAACTAATCGACAGGGGGACATGCCAGGAGGACGCGCCGCGGAACGTCCCAAGGGATGCACTAGGCGACGTGCCAGGGGACGTGCCATGAGCACGCACCGCAGGACGTCCCAAGGGGACGCGCTACGGAACGTGCCAATGGACGTGCACCGCGCGATGTGCCGCTCCGCGGAACGTGCCAAGCAACATGCCAGGCTGCAATGCTAAGGGTATCGATATGAATGTACCGTGCCGAGGGCTGTGCTGTGCCTGGGCAACCTGGACACGTGAAAACACGCGTTTCGCTCAAGACGTTCTCAACACATCCTCATGCTAGATATCCGCCTGGGCAACCTGGACACGTGCAAACAAGCGTTTCGATCGAGACTTCCTCGACACATCCTCATGCTAGACGTCCGCCTGGGCGACCTGGAAACGTGAAACCAAGCCTCTGGTTCGAGACATCCTCAACAAAGCCTCATGCTAGACATCTGTCTGGCAACCTGGAGGCGTGAAACCAAGCGTCTCGCTCGAAACATCCTCAAGACCTGGGCACGTGAAAACAAGCATTTCACTTGAGAGATCCTCAGAATTCGGGTCCCCAGGAGAGGACAATCTATAACACAAAACCAGCGTTTCGCTCGAGACATCCTCAACAAATCCTGAAAACCAAGCGTTTCGCTAGGGACATCCTCAATTTTTAATTCGCCGGCCCTCTTCCCACTCGTTATTTATCGCAAAAGAAATTCGCCGGCCCTCTTCCCGTCAAACCCGGGGGGAAACCATCTAAAAGAGAACCCTGGGCTCAAGCCCTTTCCGGGAAACATACGTAAGAACACACGGATTCGCTGGGGGCCTGGATTACGCTGGATCGTCGTCGTCGTCGCCGCCGCCGCCACCGCGACGTCGTCGTCGTCGCGCTGTCCTCGATCCCTCGATCGTGTAAGCGTGGGCTCTACAGACCCCCAAGAGACCCTCCAAGAGAACCCCCGGAGACCCCCCCACGCAAGGCTCTAAGATGAGACTTTGTCGTCGTCGTCGCCGCCGCCGCCACCGCGACGTCGTCGTCGTCGTCGTCGCGCTGTCCTCGATCACTCGATCGTGAAAGCGTGGGCTCTACAGACCCCCAAGAAACCCTCCAAGAGAACCCCGAGACACCCCACGCAAGGCTCTAAGATGAGACTTTGTCGTCGTCGTCGCCGCCGCCGCCACCGCGACGTCGTCGGATCGTGAAAGCGTGGGCTCTACAGACCCCCAAGAGACCCTCCAAGAGAACCCCAAGACACCGCTCCACGCAAGGCTCTAAGTGAGGACTTTTGTCGCGTCGTCGCCGCCGCCGCCACCGCGACGGTCGTAGTCGTGGGCTCTACAGACCCCAAGAGACCCCTCCAAGATACCCCCCACGCAAGGCCTAAGATAGACTTTGTCGTCGTCGTCGCCGCCGCCCGCCCTGTTCCTCCGAATTCCATCGATCGTGTAAAGGCGTGGGCTCGACGGACCCCAAGAGACCCTCCAAAGTGGGGAGAACCCAAGAGACCCCCCATCCAAGGCTCTAAGATGAGGACTTTGTCGTCGTCGTCGCCGCCGCACCGCCGCCCCCGCCGCGACGTCGTCGTCCGTCGTCGCTCTTGCCTCGAGCCCTCCCCCCCCCCCCTCGATCGTGTAAGCGTGGGCTCTGCAGACCCCCAAGAGACCCTCCCAGAGAACCCCCGGAGACCCCCCCACGAGAGGCGCTAAGATGAGACTTTGTCGTCGTCGTCGTCGCCGCCGCCACCGCGACGTCGTCGTCGTCGTCGCGCTGTCCTCGATCACTCGATCGTGAAAGCGTGGGCTCTACAGACCCCCAAGAGACCCTCCAAGAGAACCCCCGAGACCCCCCCACGCAAGGCTCTAAGATGAGACTTTGTCGTCGTCGTCGCCGCCGCCGCCACCGCGACGTCGTCGTCGTCGTCGCGCTGTCCTCGATCACTCGATCGTGAAAGCGTGGGCTCTACAGACCCCCCAGGAGACCCTCCCAGAGAACCCCAAGACACCGCTCCACGCAAGGCTCTAAGATGAGACTTTGTCGTCGTCGTCGCCGCCGCCGCCACCGCGCGTGGGCTCTACAGACCCCCAAGAGACCCTCCAAGAGACCCCCCACGCAAGGCTCTAAGATGAGACTTTGTCGTCGTCGTCGCCGCCGCCGCCCTGTCCTCGATCCCTCGATCGTGTAAGCGTGGGCTCTACAGACCCTCAAGAGACCCTCCAAGAGAACCCCAAGAGACCCCCCCACGCAAGGCTCTAAGATGAGACTTTGTCGTCGTCATCGCCGCATCGCCTTGCACGCGGTGTGGAACTCGAGCAGGGTGTCCTCGTACCGCTGCGCCGAAAGGTGTCGGACCATGTGGTACGAGATGTCGATCCGCTCGGCGGCTTTGGCCATGCGGCGGTCGATGATGCCCGCGGCACGCGCAGCGCGCGCAGCCACGGTGAGGCCCTCGAAGACACGGCCCGTGCGGACCTCGATGGCGCCGAGGAGCCCGTCCCTGAGCAGGTAGAGGCGCTGCGCCTTGGCCCCGAAGGCGGCCTCCATTGCAGGGAAGAAGAAATGCCTGACAGGCGCGCCGCGGACCAAGCGCTGGCAGAACCAGCACCTTGAGCCAAAAATGGCTACGGACCGCCCCAAAAAACTGGCCTTGGGGTGCGACAGGGAGAAATTATCTATAAGGAAAAGGAATGGAGCAGGAGGAGGAGGAGGAGGAGGAGGAGGAGGAGGAGGAGGAGGAGGAGGAGCAGGAGGAGGAGGAGGAGGAGGAGGAGGAGGATGAGAAAAAGGAGGAGAACGACGAGGAGGGGGAGGGGGGGGGGAGGACAGGGCCCGCCCACCTGGGAGCAAGCAGTCGTCCTGCCTCCACCAGGGGCGCCGCAGAAGGAGCGAAGGGGCTCCTCTGGCCACCGCGGGCCTCTCGGCCACCGACGGGGCCCCACGACCCAGAGCCCAAGAGCGGCCGAGAACAGGGGGCCCTCTGGAGCCCCAAGCGATCCTTCTCTCCGGGTCTTGCCCGTGCCATGGCGAACGTGCGCACGGCTGGCGCGTTCTGTCGCGCCTCGCTCCGAAAGCGCGAGGCGCGAGCGCGGCGAGGCAGATGGACGGACATTGCACCTCAAGCAGGGAGGATGGAGGTGACGGAGGAGAAGAGGAGGAGGGGGAGACGGATGAACATGATGGCCAAGCTTGTCGCACTCGCACACGCACACGCCGCCCAAGTCTCGGCGCCCTCTTCCCCACCCCAGTCCGCCCCAAGTCGCCCCAGCGAGCAACCACGCGCGTGCAACCTGTGGCGTCCCAAACCCAGATAGCCAGCCGCGCAGTCCAAAGCGCGTGAAACGCTTTTCCGGGACGCCTGCAAGGACGCTTGAAAGGATGCCTGGGGAACTTGCAAGCTCGAGAAAGGAGCTTCGCAGGAGCTCCCAAGGAGCTTCGAAACAACTGCGGGAAGGTCTGCCAGAAACATGGACTCCGCTTGCGCGAGAAGCCAGGAGGCTGGGCCAGGGTCCCTCTTCGTCTTGGGCCACCTCCTGTACCACTGGCAATCGCCTCGCGCCCCCCTGTCTCGGGGGATCCGGAGATCTTTGGGGGCCCCAGAGGGGCCACAGACGCACAAGGACCTCGGAGCAGCGGCGGGCGCGGTGGCGCAGCTCGCGGAGGCGGCGCGCGTGGCCTCGCAGGAGCGCCGCCGCCCTCTCTCGGGGTGCCCTTCCCGGGCTTGGGGGCCGCCCTGAGGAGGAGGATCGAGGAGCCCGAATTCGTGCGATCGAGGAGGATCGAGGAGCGAGGAGGAGGATCGAGGATCGAGGAGGATCGAGGAGGAGGAGGGCGTGGCGCGACCTGCGCGACGGCGCGACGGCGCGGCCCCGCAGGCCAGGCCGCGGGACGAGCTGCGGCCCGGGGGGGACGGCTCCTCGAGGCCAGCACGTCCTTGTCGTTCCGGTTGTAGCAGTTGCCCGGGGCGTGCTTCCACCACATCTTCCTGGGGGCGCGGCCCGCGGGGGGAGGCACTCGGGCGGCCCCGGGCCTCGCCACCGCTCGCTCGTCCCTTCCCCGTGCGCTGTTTGGTCTCTCGGTCGCGGGTCCGGTCTTCGGGGGGAGGCCTCGAGGGAGGAGGAGGAGGAGGAGGAGGAGGAGGAGGAGGAGGAGGAGGAGGAGGAGGGAGGAGGAGGAGGAGGAGGAGGAGGAGGAGGAGGAGGACGCAGGCGGGATGCAAGGGGGGGGGAGGAGGGCGGAGGAGGAGGATGGGGAGGAGGAGGGGGAGGAGGAGGGGGAGGATGGCGAGGAGGGGAGGAGGGGGAGGAGGGGGAGGAGGGGGAGGAGGGTTGGCGGCGCGCACAAGGGGGTAGGGGTAGGGGGGAAGGCTTCTAAGAAGGAGGCTGCTTCTTAGAAGGCGCGGGCCTTACATCTACAGACAAGGCTGGCGCCTTCTAAGAAGCAGGTGCTTCTAAGAAGCCTTCCCCCATCCCCCTACCCCCCTCTGCGCGTTGCCGAGAGGGGGAGGAGGAGGGGGAGGAGGGAGAGGAGGAGGAGGAGGCTCCAAGAAAGACGTCCCGAAGATACGCCCTGGGACTGGGATTTTCGGGTTCTGGCCGCACCAACAAAAAGTGCACGTCCGAGCGATGCCAGGCACCGCGTGGCGCGCCTCGCAGGCCGGTCTGCCCCTGCGGGGGGAAGGCACCTGCCCCCTTTCCCACGGTTTCGCGAGGGGCTGCTTGCCATCGCTCAGACGTCCATTCCCGGTGCATTCTTGAGCTTCGTGCGTCAGTTTTTTCGCAAGATGACCAAATATGCACCTAGATGGTTCTTGCCTGGGAAGATGCACACGTCTGGATGATGCCTAATTCAGCGAGGGGTATCTGCGTCAAAGACGGCCCCAAGTGCCTTCACATATCGCGCAAAGTGGTCCGTCTTGGCTCGAACTGGCCTTCGACACGACTTCAAGTGGCACCAGGACGGCCCCGAAGTGTCGAGCCCCTCATGGATGCGTCCTAGAAGCCATAACAGTAAAACCACATGCGGTCTTTAATGATCATCGCTTCTTCGCTTGTTCGCTTCGATTGGCTTCCGAGCCCTCGAGAGAGCCTCCCAAGGGGCCTCCCCAAACACCCCAAGAGCCTCCCTTGAGGGCTCCAATAAGTGACGTTTCAGGCTCAAAAAATGGAGATGCCCTGGTCGAGGACCTCCCTCCGTTGGCCCCAGGGGGCCCCAAGACTTCCCCAAGAGGCCTCCAAGAGGGTTCCGAGAGGCCTCTGAACAACACCCCCAGAGACCCTGACATGCATTCAAGAGGCCTCCGGTCTACGACTTATGCACGTTTGTGGGATGTGCCGAAGGCCATTGACCACTGAGTAGAGGTTGCATAATGTTCTGTCCCTTCTCCAGTCTCGAGGAGCTCTTACAGTCGTTCTGGCATATCGTCGGCCTGGCTTCGTGCACTCGTGGGCTTCCTCGCGGCCTTCCTAAAGCCCCCTGATCCCCCTTCAGGGTCGCCGGTACCCGCCGTAAGGCCCCGCCGACATCCCTGATCTCTGATGTAGACGGATGTGTAAACATGCAATGTACAACATGGGCGTGCATTCGATCAACGTGCTGAATCAGAAGGTCAATCCAACCACACGCAATCTAATATCGTTGATGGCGCGCGAAACCATTTACCACTGATGCATGCAGGCGGCAAGCAACTGGCTCAGCCGATTTCCAAGTTGAGCCAACATGATCGCAAGTGGCAAACAAACTGGCCATCATTCCACCATGCAGTTCACAACTGACCGCGCCATTTAGTACTCTGTCAACTCAATGCGCGACAGTCAACCACTCACGATCGAGGGCATGCCGTCGACACTGAAAAGGCCGATGTGCGAACACTTACACATATAAGTCGCAACGCATGCTAGTACGACGGATATAGACTTCGCAGCCATGAATGTCTTGATTTATCCATTATCTGACTTCCACGCCGCAATTGTGGCAACAGCAACTGCGGGGAAGGCGGCAGCGTAGGCAGACGGTTCCCGAACTTCGGCTCGAAGAAAGCGTTGAGGCCCACACGCTTGGTGTTGCGGGTGACTACCTCGCCGGTGGGTGCGTTGATGCTCGAAATACCAATGGTGCGCAGATAGAGCGATCTCCTGCGACGAGGCTCCGCCTTCCGAGAGCAGCGGGCGCAACCCTGCGGGCCCCGGACGTCGGCGACGCTCCGAAGGGGGAACCGCCACCCAGCGAGGCCTCTAGACCTCTCTTCCTTCCCTCCCTCCCTCTGATGATGCAGTCGCCTCCTTCTCCTCCGCCCCCTCCTCCTCCCACTCCTCCTCCTCCTCCTCCTCCTCCTCCTCCTCCTCCCTCCTCCTCCTCCTCCTCCTCCTCCTCCCCTCCTCCTCCTCCTCCTCCTCCTCCTCCTCCTCCTCCTCCTCCTCCTCCGCCCCCTCCTCTGAGGGCACCCTCCCCTTCCCCTCGCCACCCTCCCCGAGGAGGGCGACGCCGCGCTGCCCCCTGGCGAGGCTCGACCACGTCGGCGACGCTCCGAACTGGGCGTCCGAGCCCCCCAGCGACAACTCCCGCTCCCGCTCTCGACGCAGCCGCCTCTTCGCGAGCACCCGAGGCGCAACACGCTTCTGCCCCCCCCCTGCCCCCCCCCCCCCCCCCTCGAGGCTCCCCCCCTCGGGGCTTCCCCCCCCATCGAAGCTCCCTCTTCTCCGCGGGTGCTTTGTCCGTCGGCTCCTCTCCGATCGCGCCCAGAGGCGCGGCACAGCTTCCCACAATTTGGTTTTGAAGCATAAATGCCTCCTCCTCCTCGCTCCTCCTCCTCCTCCTCCTCCTTCTCCTCCTCCAACTCCTCCTCCTCCTCCCCCTCTTCCTCCTTCCCGGCGGCGAGCGAGGGGGGCGGGTGAGGAGGAGGAGGAGGCCTTCTGAGCGAACAGGCGGCGAGGCTCTCCAGAGCCCCCTCTGGCCTCCTGAGAATCCCGCCATCCCTCTGGGCCGGGGTGGTCCGGCGATGCCTCTCGTTCCTTTCCCAAGCGCTCTCCCTTCTGGGAGGGGTACCCTCCCCCTCACCCTCCCTGAAGTCTTTTGTTGGGGGGGGACACGAAGTGTCAGGGCGCCCAAGATGGCTCCAAAGCTCCGGTGCTCCAATATTGCTTCCGAGATGGCTCATTATAGCAGACGAAGGTTCAAGGTAACTTCCGATATACCTCCAAGAGGCCCGACGAAGGCCACAAAATGGTTCCAAATGCTCCGCCCTCTCAAGACCCCCCGAAGAAACCAAAATCTTTCAAGAACCAAACGGAACATCCATGATTTTTGACTTCTCGCATTTTTGCTTCCTTTGCGCTTTTGAAGCCTCAAGATGGCCCAAGGGAGGTCCTCAGGGGCCCAAGAAGCCCCCCGGCCCCCAGACAGCCCCACGCCCAAGAGCGGCCCAAGAGCGCCCCAAGAGGCGACTTTGATGGCCCCCAGGGGGGGAGGCAAATTGGGGACCCCCCTTTTGATCGATGGCCTCCAAGATGGCCCCAAGAGGCCCTCCAGGGCTCCCAAGGGACCCCCGAGGTGGCTCCAGGAGGGCCCGGGGACCCTTCAAGGGAGCCCCGAGGGGACCCCAAGATACCCCAAGAGAGACCCACGAGGGCTCCAAGTGGCGATTTCAAGAACTCTGTCCCCGTCCTCGTTGTCCTCCTCCTCCTCCTCCTTACCCTCATCGTCTTCCTTTTCCTTTCCTCGTCTTCCTCATCGTCGTGGTGGTCGTCGTCGTCGTCTTCCTCCTCCTCCTCCTCCTCCAACTTCCCTGGCCACCACGCGGGCCCCAGGGATGGCCCAAAGAGGCCCTTCAAGGCCACTCCCTTGCCCGCTTCGTTTCACTATATGTGTAACTTCCTCCCGTTTCCCATCACATCTCATGGGCAACATTTCTGAATGAGCTGGAGGTGATACGCGAAGCGTGAGCATTTGTCTATGTCTTCGGAGAAAGCTTTGAAAACTTCTCAGAAGGCCGGAGGACTTCTGAGCGTTCTGAGAAGGCATGCCCCTTCGTACTTGCCCCTCAAGCTGGCTGCCGATCTTCTCCCATGACGAGAACGGCAGCCCTGCACCGTACCATGTTTGGACTGCCCTCAAGTCTTGCTCCAACGCGTCACAGTGTATTGTTGTCAGGTTCTCAGGGCCGACGAGCTGCGCACCTTACCATTGTTGGGTTAAGGATCGACGACGCCTCGGGAGGCGCCAGCGCGGTACGGTGCATACAAGTCGTCCGCGGAAAATGTTACCTCCTCCTTTGGCTTATGCTTGAAACAGTAATCTCCTCCTCCTTTGTGAATTGCACGAGCGATGATCGGATGATCGCAACGTCTATACGGTAAGAGGGTGCAATACAACGAGACAACCGACTTAGGCAATGAGAGTAAGCCTGTCAGTAAGCGCAGTGTCAAGGAAGGTCAGTGAGAAACGGCAAACGAATGTGAGCCCGCTAGGGCTTAGAGTAACTACGGCGGGCTTGTGTCGTGACGACCCCGTGGGTTGATATCTGACACCGAATGGATCGCTCGACCCTCAGCGATCGGCAGCTTCTCGATCGCCAGATCGTTCATCGTTGGTCGATTCTGCGCCGCTGGCGGCGTTCAACCCTGAACGTCCGCGCTGGGGTCGAAGCCGCCTCAATACAACACGAGCGTACCGTATGCAGGCAATCGCCGCCTCTCTGGATGCGGCAAATCTGCTACGCTTGATGGCAGGCGCCTGGCAACCAGGTGCCTTGGCATGTCTCGCAAAGGACGCGAGAATCTGCCTCGAATCCAGCCAGTGTTGCGTCCGAGCCGTGACAGGGGTCCCAGCACCGCCTGCGCGCGGTCTTGCCAGCCCGAGGGAGGCCTGCACCCGGTGCTTATATCCAGATCGCCGGTCCGGCGCGTGCGATTCAAAACCAGCTACGAAGCACAGCCTGGGCTTCAAACTCTGCTGGCCAGGGCGGAGGAGGGGGGCGGGGCGGGGCGGCTCTTCCGGGGAGAAGGGTCGGGAGCGGCCAAGAGGGGGGTGTCCAAGAGGGGTGTGTGCAAATCATGGCCGGCGGCATGTGCGCGGCCCAGGTTGGGGGCCAGGGACGTATTGAAATGAGAAGGGGCGCCATGAAATCAGGGGAAATATCATGGCCCACGCCGTGATATCCCCCCCCTAGTCATCACCCCCCTCTTTGCCGCCCCCGAAGGGGGGAGAGGGGCGGGGCGGGGCGGCTCTTCCGGGGAGAAGGGGAGGGGTCTTCTTTTTCCGGGGCCGCTCCCGCGCCGCAGGAGGAAAGGTGCGGGGGCGGCTTGGCTAGGGAACGGGGGGAGGGGGGGGGGCGGCAGCGCCGCCAAGGCTGCCAAGGCGGCCCAAGAGAGCTCCTACGCGCCCAGGATGGCCCCCATACTGACAAAGAAGCCCCCAGGAGGCCCCAAGTGGCAAGCATCATTGATTTCCCGTTCGTGCGTGTATATAGGTATACATGCTTTTCATACTTATATATATGTATATGTAGATTGTTGTTAGCAAAGCAGTCGCCTTTTCGAGCTTCCGACGCTCCAAGACGGCCCAAGAGGCCCCCAAGGCCGCCACAAGACAACGCAAGAGGCCCCCAAGAGGGCTCCAAGACGGTCCATGAGCGCCCCCAAACGGCTCCAAGAGGGGGAACATGAACCGACGATTCGAGCCTTGCGCCCCAAGAGGCACCCAGGAAGCTCCCAGAGGGCCCCGAGAGGCTTTAAGAGGCTCCCCCAAAGCCCCCAAGAGGCCACAAGAGGCTCCCGAGAGGCCCAACTGAGGCTTCCAAACGGCCTCCAAGAGGCTTCACAACTGCCTCCAAGAGGCCCTCAAGAAGCTTCCCGCAAGATCCAAACGGACCCCCGAAAAGCCTCTGACCCACAGCCTAGGCACGCTGGCGGGATGGGCCGACGGCCACCAGAAAAGGCAAAATAGACATGACGGGAAGGAGCAATGTACGATGAACTATTCACGCTACGACCCCCCAAACGACCCACCAACGAGCCAACCCGTCAGTGCTCTAGCCCGCCAACAAGCTCGACAGACGGACACGACGCAAACATTCCATTCAACACATACTGCCTAAAGCGACTGCCAACACCCTCCTTCCCCTCCTCCTCCTCCTCCTCCTCCTGTTCCTCCTCCTGTTCCTCCTCCCTCCCCCTCCCCCCCCTCCTCCTCCTTCCCTCCTCCTCCTCCTCCTCCTCCTCCTCCTCCTCCTCCTCCTCCTCCTCCTCCTCCTCCTCCTCCTCCTCCTCCTCCCTCATCCTCCCTCCTGCCTCCTCGAAGTGAATCTCACTAACTATTCAACAAGACGAATTCGCACGGAGCGTCCCGTTTTGGCGGTACAGGCCGGAGGCCTCTGCGAGTCCCAAGTAGTCCACAACAACGCCACACCAACTTCGGGCCGCATCGGATCTTCGGAAACTCGAGATCAAATCGGATCGGGCTGGCCGGAATCGGCATCAACTCGTATCGATCGGATCGAGATGGACACTGGGAGATGGCGGGGCCCCGTCAGATACGAAACTTCTGCATGGCACCGCGCGCGTCTTCTTACAAAATGAAGTTGGCCAAGTGAGGATATCCAAGCAATCGTTAAAACTTGTTCGTTGCTTTGTGCCTTCGAGGGCTGCAATGGCAAAGCGCGACCGAACGTTAGCGCAGATCATGTCCGCAAACTCTGCCTGAGAGTCGTGCACCGATTGCGCTGGATGCGTGCGATCGAAGAAATCCTGCTCCAGAACGCCTGGCCCCGATCTCTCGACCCGATCCCCAAACTCGGCGCTGATTTTTTGGGCGCCTCCCAAACCTGGCTTAACCGATCTGTGTAAGGCTACCTCCAGGGCCTCGAACGGGCCCCAAGCCCAGCTCGGCTAAGCTCCGGCTTTGCGGGATCGTGTAGGGTTTAGCGTTCCAGCTGAGCCCTGTTGGCGCTGAACCCCATTACCTGTCAGCTGACTCTCGATCCCGTCCCCAGGCCCGGTTCTTCGTTCCGGGTCGTTCTGGGAGTACAATATTCGGCCTGACCTAAGGAACGATGAATAAGGAACGAAGCCCCTTTTTTCCAAGTGAATCTAGAAAATCCTAAGAAACACCAGGGGGTCCCGCCGCCAAAAAGGTAGCGGAACTCATGCAAACCCAAGGAACGACCGAGCCCCTTTTGAAAAATAGGTGTTCCTTATTCAAGCCGGACCCTGTAGCATGCCCGACCGGTGCGGGGCGGCCTTGTGCACGGATCCACTGGGGACGACGACGCCCTCGCCCTCCCTGAGCCGCAGGTGGAACCAGGGAGCGCGGACCTGCCAGCGCGGGAGGGGGGGGGCGAGGGAGGAGGGGGACGAGGGAGGAGAGGGAAAGGAGGAGAGGGGGCGATGGAGGAGGGGGGACGAGGAGGGGGAGCCAGCGGGATGCACGACTCTGCGCGGTGTCTCGCTCACCGGGGCCCCGACCTGGGGGCGGACCCGGCGGCCTCGCACTACGACGAAGTGTCAAGACTGGGGCGAAATCGGACCGCGACAGGTCGGGGATCTCTAAAATGAAGGGGCCCACGGACACACAGATTCGCTGGGCCAATGGGCCAGAGGCGCACTAAAATCTCCAGTAACAAATTAACAATAGTTCTAGCTCGCTCGCGCGAGAAAAGTACCCCGGCAGGTCCCCCGGCGGTGCGGATCAGATGGTTTTCCTCCTGGGCGCGGCTTTCAGGCGCCCCAGAGCGCTCCAAGTGGACCCCAAGAGGCGCCCAAGACGGTCCAAGAGGGCTCCGAGTCGTCGAGCGATCCGTCCGAGACACCCAAGACCCAAGATTTCCAGATGGCTCACGAGGCCTCCAAGACGCCCCAAGAGGCCTCCCACAAGAGCCCCAAGAGGCACAAATCATTGATTTCTCATGTTTTTTTGAAGAATCTTGGCGCTCTCGCCTTCTCAGCTTCCCGACGCTCCGAGACGGCCCAAGAGGCCTCCAATACCGTCCCAGGACACCGTCTTGGGGCCCCCAAGAGGGCCCCAAGACGGGCCAATCGGGCCCCAAAACAGCCCCAGAGGCGCCCAAGATCGCTCAAGAAACCTCCAAAAGGGACCCAAGAGGGGCCCAAGAGGGAAAACACGAATCACCTAGTCGAGCCTTCCGCCCCAAGAGGCCCCGAGGAAGCCCCAAGAGGCCCCCAAGAGAGCCCAGGAGGCCCCCAAGAGAGCCCCACGAGGCCCCCAAGAGGCCCCAAAAGAGGCTCCAAGAGGTCCCCAACTGGCCCCAAGAGGCCACGAACGCGCAAGCAAACGCCTGCGATGGCACAATACGTGAGGGAGGCACCCGTGCGAGCGGAACACCGACTCGGGTGAGCTGGCCCGAAGGAGCTTCACGGCGCACTCACAGCTGAAGCACAAGCCAAAGCTGAGGTGCGCACAAAGATGGAAGGCAGACCCTGCAAATTTGGTTGACAACACATCCCAGACATTTTTCGTCAGCGGCGAGGCGGCGAACTCCGCTCCAGCGAGAAGACAACACATCCCGGACATGCGATGTCTGATTTCTTCAGCACGGGCTCCCTGGAAATCCTGACCCTTTCTCCAGGGCCGGTGTTTCGTCTCGAGTCGTTTTTTGTCGGTCCTGGGGCCTGGTAAGGCTCCCCTGAGGCTGCAAATGGAGAAAAGAGTAAGGTTCCCCAGAGGCTGCAAATGAAGAAGAACCTCCGCCCCGATTTTTTTAGGACGTTGCGCCTCTAGGATCGATGGGCGAGGAGCCTGGCTGCCCCAACACGCAAACACGCAACCCGTAGCGTGCTGACACGGAGCTGAACACGCAGAACTGACAGCGCACGTTTGTCGGGGGCGCGCAAGCATGGATTAGCCTATGGATTTGGCGCGCGGTCGCCAAATCCATGGATCGGGGAAGGTACCCTCCCCGAAATGCGGCCGGTGCTGCCTCGCTCGGCGGCGGGAATCCGCGATTTCCCATAAAGAAACGGGACCCGTCGCAGATCCACGCCCCCCTAATCCATGTCTGCGATCGCCTGCGTTCGGCGCGGTACGCCCCCCCAAAACGTGGGCCAGCACGCTGCGCCCACACGCAGGGCGTTGCGCCACGGACGTTCTGAGCGCGCCACGCCGTGGCCGCGGGGATGGGAGGCGGGACCAGAGAGGCCCCCGAGGTTCGGCCACGCGGAAGGAGGAGGAAGAGGAGGACGAGGAAGAGGAGGAGCAGGAGCAGGAGCAGGAGCAGGAGCAGGAGGAGGAGAAGGAGGAGGAGGAGGAGGAGCAGAAGGAGGAAGAAGAGGAGGAGGAGGAGGAGGAGGAGGAGGAGGAGGAGGAAAGAGCAGGAGCGAGGAGCAAGGAGCAGGAGTAGGAGAGAGGAGGAGGAGGGGAGGAGGAGGAGGAGAGAGGAGGAGGAGGAGGAAGGAGGAGGAGGAGGAGGAGGAGGAGGGAGGAGGAGGAGGAGGGAGGAGGTAGGGGGAGGGGGAGATGAGGAGGAGGAGGAGGAGGAGGAGGAGGAGGAGGAGGGAGGCGCGAGGGCGGCGGGCAGGGGGCCGATGGGGGGGGTCGTGTCCGCCCGCGGCCACGGCCACGAGCCGCGCAGGCGCCCCCCGCCCCCCCCACCCCCCGAGCGGGAGCGCGAGCGGGGCTGGCGTTAGGTCGGGCGCGCCCCCCCCCCCCCACAGGGGGCCCGACCTGAGGCTGGCGCTGGCGTGGCTGGAGTGCCCGAGCAGCAGAGGAGCGCCGGAGCGGTTGGCACCGAACGGCGCGAGGACGAGGGCCGCAGGTCAAGCCAAGGAGCGCCCAGCGCGAGACGCCTTCGGCAGCGGCAGCGCCGGGGCAGGGGGGGAGCGCGCGCGCGCGACATCGGACGAGGCAGGCGCCGCCCTCGTCTCGACGCGAAGGGCGGGGCAGGGTGGCGCAAGAGGCCCATCACCTGCGCCAGAGAATGGAGAGAACAGCTGGCGGCGCGCACAAGGTGGTAGGGGGAGGGGGGAAAGCTTCTTAGAAGGAGGCTGCTTCTCAGCAGGCGCAGGCCGTACATCCCTACAGACAGGGCCCGCGCCTTCCAAGAAGCAGGAGTGCTTTTAAGAAGCCTCCCCCCCCCCTCCTCCCTCTGCCCTCCTCTGCGCGCGGCCGCCGTGACCTCGGAACTCCCCCGCGCGGCGACATGCCATCCGGTGTCTGTCTCGGGCTCTGTCGAGCCGTGCCTTTTCGCCCGCCGTCCAGCCCCGGGGCCCTCACGCATCGATCCGGCTCGAAGAGATGGCATGGGGAGATGCGGGCCGGGGCTCTGGCCGTGATGTGTCACGATGTTGCAACTTTTTCGTTACGTCGGCTCTCGGACTACGGAGAAGATTTGGTCAGGAACCTTGCTCAGCGTGGACCCAGGTCCTGGTCAGAGTCGATCAGCTGCTGGGGTCGCCGATCTTTCGAGAGCTGGGTCCACACCTTGCCCTGGAGATACCTGCCTTGAGTGTGAAGGCCTCCTCCTCCTCCTCCTCCTCCTCCTCCTCCTCCTCCTCCCCTCATCCTCCTCCCACTCCCCCTCCTCCTCCACCTCCTCCTCCTCCTTTCTTCCTCCTCTCCTCCTCCTCCATCTCCTCCTCCTCCTCCCCTCCTCCTCCTCCTCCTCCTCCTCCTCCTCCTCCTCCTCCCTGCCTCCTCCTCCTCCTCCTCCTCCTCCTCCTCCTCCTCCTCCTCCTCCTCCTCCTCCTCCCCCTCCTGCTCCCACCTCCTCCTCCTCCTCCTCCTCCTCCTCCTCCTTCTCCTCCTCCATCTCCTCCTCCTCCTCCTCCTCCTCCTCCTCCTCCTCCTCCTCCTCCTCCTCCTCCTCTCCTCCTCCTCCTCCTCCTCCTCCTCCTCCTCCTCCTCCTCCTCCTCCTCCTCCTCTTGGCGGCGCGCCCAGGGGGGGAGGCAGAGGGAGCGGGCCTGCTCAGAGGGATGAGAACACCTCAGGCCTTCTCGGTAGCTCCGTGAGCCTTCTCCGAAGCCGCAGACGGCTGCCTGAAAAAGGCCCCGGGGCTTCTGAGAAGGCCTCCCCTCCTCACTTCCCCCCTCGCGCCGCAGGTCCTCCTCTCCCGATCCTGCCGCCGCCGCTGGCGGCGACGACGACGCTGACAACGACGACGACGACGACGACGCATGGGACGGCCCTGCCCTCGGTGACGCCGCCGGCGGCGGCGGCGGCGGCAGTGGCGGCGGCGGCGATGACGACGGAACGGCGACGACGACGACGCATGGGACGGCCCTGCCATCGGCGACGCCGACGGCGACGACGACGTGTGGGATGACCTTGCCCTCGGGGACGCCCTCCGTCGCCCAAGGCAGGATGCCGTCCTTAGGTGGCCCGCCGCGCCGGCGGTTCAGGGCCCCGCGGCGGCGGGGCGGAGCGGTGCGAGGCGCCTCCGCCCTCGGGCAGTGAGGGGCAACGATAGGGGGCATCGGCATGTAGGGGGCAGTAAGGGGGAATGATCGGGGCAGCTAGAGGGAAGAGAGCTATGGGACATACACCGATTCTGGCCAGGCCCATCCTGAGCCCAGGATCGGTGCATGTGCCCTCCTGCCTTGGCCGGGAAGGCATATGCACCGATCATGCGCCCAAGATGGGCCTGGCCAGAGTCGATGCATGTGCATAGTTCTCTTCGCCCGAGTAGTGAGGGGCAAGTGAGGGGCAATGATAGGGGCAGAGAGGGGGGGGGCAACGATAGGGGGGGAAACATCGGCATGGAACCGGCGACACATCGCCGAGCTGCCCCCGATAGCAGGTCCGCACGTTCCTGGGCGGCGTGGGCTGTCGGGCCCCTAATGGCGATGAATGGGCGATCGGGCTTATGTTGTTCGCATCGTACTTATGTACTGCATCCTATAAACAGCGTCGAGCACTCGGAAAAGTATCGAGACAGTGTGTGCTCGACACGCTGGCGAAGTGTCGAGCGAGCATCGCCTTCCAGAACCCGGCGTGTGAAAACCCTCTTGTATTTGGTGCTCGCAACTCTTCCTAGTGATCAAGGCCAAAGTCTGTTGGAACATCATGAGACTGGGAGTCCATGCATCCCCCTGAGCCTATCCACCCCTGACTTTGCCCCTGAGGCAGGCCCCTCCTGGCGCGCCTCCCGACTCGAGCACACCAAGGCCCATCGCGCTGTGGGAGGGCTGCGGGCAGAGGGGGCTCGGCCGTGGCCTGGCCGTGTGGCCGCAGGGCCGGCCCGCCCGTGGGCCTGCCCTTCCTCCTCCTCCGCCCCGCCTTCCGCCCTCCCTCCCTCTGGGCCCGCTCTCCTCCTCGCCGCCCCTCCTCCGTCTGCTCCTCCTCCTCGAGCAACGAGGCCTGCATCACCACCTCTGCCGCGCATCGTCGGCAAGCTGCGCCTCTGCGTGTGTGCTGCGCAAGTCGGTACACTTTGTGGCAAGCTGCTCCGCTCTCGCTTTTTCTCTCTCCCTCTCTCTCGCTCTCCTTCCCTACCCCCCGTGCATCCTCCTGCTCCCTACCTCCTCCTCCTACTCCTCCTCCTGCTCCTCCTCCTCCTCCTGCTCCTCCCCCTGCTCCTTCTCCCTGCTGCAGCGGCTGAGCGGAGGACGTTGATCTTGAAGATAAGCCCATCGGGGCGGTCGAGCAACCCCAGACACATGGAGTTGAAAACGATCACGTCCACTGTGCCGGTCAGCTGCATCAAGATGTTGTCCTGTGCGGTGCGCTTCTGGGAGCAGTGATGGAGAGGGAGGCTGAAGGAGGAAGCACTGGGACGCGGGGTTGGGAGGGGCAGGGGGAGAAAGGACGAGCCCTAGACATGGTAATTTTCCAATGCGGGGTCCCCAGAGCTCTCGACCTCTGTCCTGGGGGCTGCCCGCATAGTAAGTCTTTGACGCCGCCTTGTGTCGAGCCTCGCGGCAAGCCACAATGCCGTCGTCGTGAAGATGGGAAGTAGTGCCATGCTGTCTGTGACAACGGAGGAGAAGAGATTGTGGATGACACTTTTTCCCACCCCCGCAAGAAACCCATTAATGAACCACGACTCTCCAGGTGTCGGCGTGCCTAGGGCAACCTTCGGCCAGGAGCAAAGCGACGTCGAGAAAGCAGGGAAGGGCTGCAGGTTCCCGATCCCCACACCCCTGGGCGTCGAACAAATAACGGCTATACGGCGCCATTGAGTTCCCCGTTGAAAGGAGGATGAGGACGAGGAGGAAGGAGGAAGAGGAGAGGAAGGAGGAAAAGCAGCGAGGATGATACTGACACCCGCCATCCGTACCACAGCGGTCCACCTGTGGAGAGGAGAGTGAGAATGAGTATGGATGTGGATGGGGAGGATTATGACTACGAGGATGGAGGAGAAGGAGAAGAAGGGGGAGGAGTGGACGCTGGAGTAGTCGCTGCAACAGAATTACAGCAATGTTCCACAACTGGCAAACATAACTTCTTTTAAAACATCTGGACCCGTGGCTTGTGTCACGGTCATCGTCTGCCGAGTGGGGGTAAATCTTCCACCGTGCCGTAAGCATTGAAGCGAATGTCCTCGAGCCCCTGAGACTCTTCAATCTTGAATCTTTGTCACTGGTCATACAAGCCCCCAGGCCCCGAACTTACAGAATCCCTGGGCGCTTCTTGGCGCTCCTGGGGCTCCCCGCGCGATTTTTATAGGGGCCGAGGGAACGTGGTTGGCAATCAACACTTCCCACGTTTCCTAATGCTCAGGTGGGTCCAGTGTGCCATCCCGAGTCTCTCTTGCCCGCCTGGAGGGCCTGGGGCCCAACAGGCTAACACCTCTGGCATGCCCTACATTTGTCTGCTCGCCTGTCTGGTCTTCAGTGCGTCCGAGACGACCCGAGAGGCCCGCCCAAGAGGGCCCCCCAAGGCAACCAAGAGGTGCCTCGCCCTCGAAGCCGCCGGCAGGCCGCCAAGAGGACTCCAGGGGGCTCTCCAGGTGGTCCTCCGGAGGCCCTCGCGAGGCCTCCATGGGGGGGGGGGGGCTCCCAGAAGGCGCCCGAGAGGCCTCTGTCTTCTAAGGCTCAGGCACGGTGGCTGGCGGCGTGGGCCAAAGGGGCTCTGTACCAAACACGATCCGCCGCCCCCCGTCGGCTTGCCACATGGGGCGCCTGGCGTGCTGGATCCTTGCGGTTCTGGTTCCTCTCGATATTCCCCCCGGAGCTTCGCCTTCCGTGCGCTGGCCGCACGGCAGGCGCGCAAAAACGACCCCAAACGTCCGAGACACACATCCTCCAAGACGGCTCACGATGGCCTCCAAGGGGGTCCAGATGGCCCAAGATGGCTTCTGAGTTCGCCCAAGATGGTCCAAGGTGGCCTCCAAGATGGCCCAAGAGGGTCCAAGATAATTACTTCCACGTGCGCCCAAGAAGACTCCAAGACGGCCCAAGACTGCCGAAGAGTGTCCAAGTGGCCTCCAAGACGGCCGAAGAGGTCTACGAGAGGTCCTCCAGGTGCGCCCGAAGAGGCTAAAATCATTGATTCTCATTCGGTTTTTGAATGATTTTCGTATTTGCTCCTTTTCGGCATTCCGACGGCACGATAGACCCCCAAGACGGCTCTAAGATGGCCCAAGACAGCCCAAGAGGCCTCCAAGAGGGCCTCCAGGACGGCCCGAAGATGCTAAAATCATTGATTTCCTAAGGTTTTTGAAGGATTTTGGCATTTGCTTCTTTTCGGCCTACTGGCGGCCCGAGACGGCCCAAGAGCCCTCCATTATCGCCCAAGAGGCCTCCAGAATGGCCCCAGAACGGCCCAAGAGGCCCCCAAGACAGCCCCAGAGGGCCCCAAGACGGCCCAGGAGGCCTCCAAGACGCCCAAGATGGCCTCCAAGACGCCCTGGAGCACCCCAAGAGGGCCCCAAGTCGGCCCAGAGAAGCCCCCAAGACGGCTTCGGACGGCGTCAGATGGGCAAGGAGCCCACCAAGACGGCCAAAGAGGCCCCCGAGAAGCCCCCAAAGGCCTCC